GAACTATCAGCGGACGCGGCACTGCAGCAGCTGCGGCTGCTGCGTGCTGCGGCATGACCACCACTGCCCCTGGATTGGGCAGTGTGTGGGGCTTTGCAATTTGCGTCTGTTTGTGTCTTTGCTGCTGTTCGGGAGTCTGCTTTGTTGGTTTGCTGCTGCTGCTTTGCTGCGGCCCGCGGGCGTCGTTTTGGGCCTTGCTGCAGTGCAGCAGCAGCGCCAGCAGCACCTGCAGCAGCAGCAGCAGCTCTTCAGGGCCGTCGCCCGCCGTTTGCTGCTGCTCGAGCAGCAGCCCCACTTGGCCCGGCTGCCTCCTTCTCCCTTTTCGCCGTTTCCGCCCGAGGAGACCGCCCGGGAGCAGCAGCTGCTGCTGCTGCTGCAGCAGCAGCAGCAGCAGCAGCGCCTCGACGCTGCGCGCAGCAGGGGGCTCCTCGCCTACGCGCTGCAGCAGCTGCTGCTCTGGGCCGCAGGCCCGCAGCCACCCCCCCCGCCGCCGCCCACGCAGCAGCAGCTAAATGCTGCAGCACTCGACGCCTGGAAAGCTGCTGCTGCTGCTGCTGCTGCTGCGCACGCCGACCCGGAGCCCGCAGCAGCCCACCCAGACAAGGACCCCCCCGCAGCAGCAGCAGCAGCGGCGAAAGCGGCCCGCGCCGCGAGCCGCGAGCAGCAGCAGCAGGAGCAGCAGCAGCGGGCGGCGGCGTTTGCTGCGGGAGTCGCTGCTGCGCGTCGGTCTGCTGCAGCAGCAGCAGCAGCGCTGGCGGGCCCGGCGCCGTTCAGCAGCAGCGTGTGCGCCCTTGCAGACGCAGCAGCAGCAGCACCCAGCCTGCGGCAGCTGCTGCTTGCTGCTCTTTGTGTCTCGCTAAATGTGGGGTTTGGAGTGTCTTTGCTGCTGCTGGCCCACCTCTACCTCGCCCTCTCCAACCAAACCACCCTTTCCGTCCTGGTCAGCTGTACAGACACCTCAGCTGTACAGACACCTCAGCTGAGAAGACACCTCAGCTGTGCAGACCCCTCAGCTGTACATACACCCCACAGAGCTGTTCATACACCCCACAGAGGTGTACAGACACCCCACAGAGGTGTACAGACACCCCACGGAGGTGTACAGACACCCCACAGAGGTGTACAGACACCCCACAGAGCTGCAGATACACCCTAATGAGATCCACAGACACCCCACATAGCTGTACATACGCCCCACAGAGCTGCAGATACACCCCACAGAGATGCAGATACACCCCACAGAGCTGTACATACACCCCACAGGCCTGTAGATACACTCCACGCAGGTGTATGTACTCCCCACACAGCTGCACGTACACCCCACACAGGTGTACGTACACCCCACAAAGATGCAGATACACCCCACATAGCTGTATGTACACCCCACACTGCTGGATGCACACCCCACACACCTGTACATACACCCCGCATTGCTGTACGTACACCCCACAGCTGCATGCACACCTCACATGTCTGAATATACACCCCACAGAGCATACACCTCACACAGCTGTAGATACACCCCACAAAGCAGTACATACACCCCACACAGCTGTACATACACCCCACGCAGCTGTACATACACCCCAGACAGCTGTACCTACACCCCGCGCAGCTGTATATACACCCCACAAAGCTGTGTATACACCCCACAAAGCTGCATGTACACCCCAGAGGCCTGAGCATACACCCCACAAAGCTGTTTATACACCCCACACAGCTGTACGTACACCCCACAAAGCTGTACATACACCCCACAAGGCAATAAAAGCAGGCAAGAGGGCTGCACATCTGCAGATACACCCCAAAATGCTGTATATACACCCCACAAAGCTCCACATACACCCCGCAAAGCTCCATATGCACCCCACAAAGCTCCATATACACCCCACAAAGCTCCATATACACCCCACAAAGCTCCATATACACCCCACACAGCTGTACATACACCCCAAAAAGCTGTACATACACCCCACACAGCTGTACATACACCCCACACAGCTGTACATACACCCCA